TTCGTGCTGGGCTTTTATTAATTGTGTAAGGATTCGTACCTTGGAGTCCCATCTGCAGAATGTTTGCTTCCTTCTTGCTTGTTGCAACTGGATCTGCCAAGTAGAGGCAGAACATCTTAGTATGTGGTCCCCACGAGAGCAGAGAAATGGAAGTAGCAGTCTAGGAGTGCATTCCGTATATTATGCCCCTCAAACTACCCCATTACCTAAGCTGCCTTACGGAGCAGACGGGAGAACAATGTCTTTTTTTTCTGTCGGCAGAAAAGGCAGCAAAGGCCAAAATGCAAGCAAACGCAAAAGTGCGCCGTCCACCGCCTCCACCCGCCCTGAAAGCGGTATGGCATCAGGGCAGCCCGAGGCGTCAAAACTACGTTTTGATTGGCTCATCTCGGCCCCGGCCATTATCGGGGTCCCCACTACTCCCAGAGTTACCCCCCTGCACCTTCTGTTTTTTCTCCTTCACCGCCCGTCCCACCGTGCCTGTCGTGCCTGTCAACCCAAAGGGTAGGTCGGCGCCTTCCAGACCCCTCTTCGTCCCTTCCCCCTCCCCCTCCATCCCATCCACCTCATCGTTCCTGCCAACCCGACTTCAAGTTTCTACTAAAGGTACCTTTACCGTTAAGATCGCGGATAGTGTAGAGCGCTCCTACTACATCGTATTTCCAAGTTTCCGCTACAACCCTCCTTAAATATGATGTATGATGAGCATTTATCTCCAAATTTTCAAACCCGATTAACAGAGAAAATTTTCAGGGGCCGTTCTTGACCCCTCCATTTCGATCCCCGTATGGACTGGCTTGGTCACCCCGTCCTCGGTGTGGACCGAGTTCCCACTTCGCCGGAGCGCAATCGCCGGGCAAAGCTCCACATATAGAAAAAACCTACGGGACACTTCACCTTGCCCTTTTTCTCATGATCGGTCGAGTCACTTCCGTATTCAGAGAGCCCCTATCTACTCAATTTGATTTTTTCAAGGCCTTTGTCTCGTTGCCCCTACACACTGCGCGTGCGAGAACTAATGGAGAATGTCGTGTGGTTTATCCGCGTCAACCGCGTCTAAGTTGTAGCAGTTAGAGATAAAGGTCACGATCCCGTCTTTTTTGGCATACGCCCCGCAAAAACGCCGGAGTCTGGGGGTGCTAGTCTGTCTCTATCAACTCTCAACATCAAAGGTCTATTACATCCCTCATGCACTTCAGCAATAATACTCTCCATTCTGATGGCCTGACAGCTACTCGGCTTTTTCGTTAATAAAGCCTTGTATCTGGGATACAAACCCTTTTGTTCACCCCTGTCCTGGTCTCTGGTACTCTTATACTGCTCTAGACCTTGGGCAAGACGATAATAAGTCATTCACGGAGCGACAGTTCCCCATGTCGGTAGTTCCTAAGCTGTTGCCCGCAAGATCTGGTGTCGATTTGTAGAGTCACAAATTCGAAGGAAATCCCCATTGAACCCCTTTCCTTCAAGCCTCCAATAACAAGGTTCATCGCAGCAGCTTTCAAACTTCCAACACCAAGACTCCTACGTACGATGCCAGAGCATCCTTCTTCATCCATCCCATCTTCATTAAGCATCAGTCGATACCCTCGAAAGTCATAACCGATGGTCCCCCCTTCTCGATCATGCCAGATCCGAGAGCATACTATCCTCAGCAGCAGCAGGAAGCCCAACAACTTCCCCAGAGCAATCTCTGCGCCTACCTTATGTTCCTACCACGAGCCGGATTCCTCAGGTGCCACATACTCTATTTCGCATACCTGAGCCTTGATGTGACCAGACTTGAAGCATCAGTGAGCGAGAAACTGGCTCTCCATTTCGAGACGTATATCAGGATGGCAGGTTTAAGCCCGCTAACCTTCCTCCTTCTGGTCCGCCGTTGTCCCCAAAACCCATCTGTACGTTTTCTTCCCTCATCCATACCCGCACCCACAGCATCGGCAAACCACTAGGTTCCCTCTCTTAGCATACATCGTCAAGACTTCCCAGGTCAAGATCAAACCTCGCCCATCTCGAGGATGTGAATGTTCTCCTCTCCCTTGTAAACCCCAGGCACTCAACTGCCCAAGCCATCATCCCTGCCCCAGCGAGACATTTCATCCCATGCCCATAAGGGCCGTGGCAAAAAGACACAGCAACCTTGGTGATACGATCAGTCTTAGCAGGGCAATGAATCAGGTCAAGTTCAGACCTCTGGGGAAGTGGTGTTGGGGGATGGGGGGACCGACCCTGTTGATGAAATCGGGATTGGGGATGGTGGGGGGGGGGGGGGGGGGACACGGGGGGGGGGGGGGGGGGGGGGAGGGGGTGGGGGGGGGGGGGGGGGTGGGGGGGGGGGGGGGGGGGGCGGGGGGGGGGGGGGGGGGGGGGGGGGGGGGGGGGGGGGGGGGGGGGCAATCCAGGTAGAGGGATTCGAGTCAGTAGATGGAAGTTGGCGTGGTAGGTGACTTGCGAAGAGAGATCTTGAGATGAGCATTGGGGTGTGTTACTTTGGGGTTTCCTGTGGGCATTTGGGAAGAGATTTGTATGTCATATGAGGGTGCTGTTGCTCTTGTTTTGTCTACATATGGCGGATATCTGATATCATGTAGCTGACCACTTCTCTGGAGACGGAGGTTTGGCTTAGGGGCGTGGAGTATACGAATATCTTGTAGGTGCTAGGTGGACGAAAGGCAGAGTGAGGCCATGTTCGACACCATGGGGAGAGAGGATGCTGAGCACCAAATTGAACTTTTTCCCTTTCGGACAGTTCGTTGTCTTTCGTTGCTATGTGGCGAGAGACGAAGGAAGTTGAGGAAGCATATGAATAGTTCCTGACTGCCCTGCCCTGCCCCCCCGCCCAATCCTTTTTTCCCCGATGGTGAAAGATCAAATCTGTCCCAACAGGATGGGTTGGCTGCCTGACAAACTTAAGCTTCATACCACGCAGTCGACACGAGCGGTGCACAACTCGCCAGCAGTGGCGATGAACCTTCCGTACCCGAGGGACGGTAGGTGGACAGGGTGACACCTCACATGACCAGGGTGATGCTGGGCAAGACTGTCCAGATGCGACCTGCCGAGTATCAAGACGCGTCTTCAAGATGACGAATGACGAGGAAATGCCCAAGCTGGGATAAGTGATCATTGATACAATCCAGAAACGTTCAATTCATTACAGAAACTTAGTCATCATTCAATAGCCGATAACCGCTGGTTACCATATGCCCAAACGCCAAATACAACAACAAAAATCGCATAATATAAATCCGGTAGATGTGACCACAACTCCAAAACTTTCCAAAAAAATCTGGGTCCAAACGTAAACAATCGCCGATATATGCAATACATCAAGTCCGCTCTATTGAGCCACTGCTATCCATCCTGGCTACAACATTGTGCGCTTGTTCCCTGTGAAGCCTGCGACGAGCGTGTTAGTTCGCACGTTCGATGTCCCGGCTTGGGTAGATATGGTTCCACGATGCGAATAGAAACACAGAACGAATAGAAATAGCGGTGACTAACGAGCTGTTCCGGAAGAGCTGCCAGGAAGGCTCCACGTGATCCAGGAAGTGTTCCGCAAGACTGGGCAGCCGCAGTTCAGGGAAAGTAGTCCAGAAAGGTAGGGTTGAGTCGTTTGTACCATGTGCCTAGCCTGGCGCTAGTGAACCTCAACCATGCCTCATCTTCAGGTCACAGTGGGTAGTGGGTACCATGAACCGCCAGACTCGTGTCCCATGGCAGGCTGCATTGATGATCGCAACATGCATCCAAAAAGCAACGGATGTTGTCAGGTGCCAAGGTGTGTTTGACCGGCAAAGGCCACTCATGATCGATGGAATGTCTTGGCCATTGTATCGAAATGGCTGGCAGGCCAGGCCATGTATAACTCACCCACATTGGAGATGTATCTCCTCCCAGTAAATTTCTTGATTGAGCTCAGTGAGCTAACTCGAGATCCAAAAGGGTTTGGGAGTCTCGGTTGTGGGGGTCAAGGCCTTTCTTGTCCACGGCCACTGTCCAATGGGTGGTACTTCCACAGGCTGGTCCATGAAGCTTTGATCCGGAATCTCCAAAATATGGAATGAAGTCCATGGTGCGGTGCGAGTGCTTAAAAGCTGATCCGGGTTTGCAAATGGCCAGTTTTGTTTTTCCAGTGGAGAGTAGTTTGCGGTGCAACGAGTCCGGTTGAATGACTGTGACGTTAGGTAAATGAGAGTTCTCAATCATGAGTGTCTCAGATCCTCATGGGGGAAGTTGGCAGAGTATCCTTTCGAAGTTGGTCAAAAAAATTGGCAATCCGTTAACTCACCTTGCTGTCCAGATGCCGTCGCCACCCATTCTATAACGAAACACCATGATGACCCCGAACTCCAAAAGTCCAAGTAGGAAGAATGAAACCCAGACCAGGAGAAGAGAGTAAAATGACATTACATCCACCGCCAGGACGGCTCCAGACAGCAAAGTGGTCCGTGTAAAAAGTCGTCAAAGTCGACTCGGTTCAAGAAAGTACGTCCTTTTCCGTTCCTGGGTTCCGGGCCATAAACACGTAGTAGCAAGTCATACTTGCGGAAAAGAAAAGGTTGATCGAATAGCAAAAATCGTAAGCCCATCCATATATGCAGTCGTAAAACGTCCAGGGGTATGCGCGGCACAATCCATTCTTGGTGAAATCCAGGTCAAGTCCAGGTGAGATCCGGGCAGGATGTAGTAGAACTCGAGACGTAACGGTCCAGGAAGATATGTAGAGCCAGGGAAACTCCGAGGCCGCGCAGAGCCAAAACGCCAGCAAAGCCAGACAACGGAGAGAGCGAGATGCATACTTGCAACTCACGATGTGATTTCCACACCTCGAATCCAGGAAAAGGGTCTATCCAGGAAAAACAAAAGATAAGGAAGCCGACACCGGGAAACGGGTCCAAGACCCGAGATCATTAGGATCAAGTTCATGACAGCGACTCACAGGACGGGCGTCCTGTGCAGTCGGAGTGGCTACAGTAAATTCCAGTGAAGGTAACGTATTAGCGACGCGGGGGGCGATGGCGGTCGGATTGGTGATGCCTGTCGGAATCCCTTTCGCTGCGGCGAGAGTGCGATGATCCACTACTTGTCGTCTGAGCTTTGGAACTCGATGGAGGAGCAGAACCACGGGGTGCAGGGGGCTTATCATACTGTGATCCTCCTTGGCCAGAAAGAGACGGGTGAGCAACACCACCTGCTGGGGACGCTACATAATTAGATTCGGTCGAAGAAGTTGGGTTGGGGTACAAAGCTGTATACGCACCGCGTCCGTACATCGGATCAGAAGCCACCGGCGTGGAACCGTACGAGGCTGACGTCGAAGGCGGGTAGTAACCTGTGGGATATCCTGCCGGAACCTGTGATCCGGAAGAGTAAGCCGGCCCTCCTGGCGGAGGCGCCATCGAAGTAGGAGTCCGAGAGGGCTGTCCTGCGTAGGGGTCGGCGGGGTAGTTTCTTTGCGCCGCCATGTTCGCGGCCGTAGCAATGTACGGGGGTTCACCGTATCCTTGTCCCATTTGGCTCTGTCCAGCGTACCTGGGGTCGGCTCTTGGGTCTGGCTGTCCAGAGTAGGGATACCCACCACTTGAGTAAGAAGAAGAAGGCTGCTGTTGATAGGAAGGGGTAGATCCAGAGTAGCCCTGGGCAGAGTTCCCCGAGTAACCTGGGGCTTGAGATCCTGGATATCTAGGGGTGCTTTCATAGGAATCACGTCCTACGTCCGGGTAGCCAGTGGAATCCGTGGGACCATAGTGTTGGCGTGCGGAGTGAGTCTCCGACTGGCGGTACCCTGCTGTAGGGGAGTTAGAACGTCTCGACAAAAGAGCCGTCGCGTCTCTTGAGGCAAATGTACCTCCTGAACTATTCCGGGCGGCCTGCTGCCGCCTCTCTGCCTCCCATCGCGCAGAATCGGCCTTCAAGTCGTCGATCATGGCCTACGGAGGCGTTGCATCAGTATACTGGTCGAGCGAAAGGCGACGACAGTGGAGCAAAGCCACTCACTGTTGTTAGGTTTCGGTAGGCGGTGATGTAGTAACCCTGTGAGACTTGTCCGGTCTGGGGGTTCTCGTAGTGACCCGGGCGGACGAGGGCGTCGTTGCCGAGGTAGCGGCAAATATCGGCGGTGATGACCTCGCGATCAATTCCATCTCTCGGAACGAAGTACTCGTTGGAGCGGCCGCTCTGAGGGGCAGACGAAGCCGGAGGGGGGCCACGGGAGGATCTCGACATATTGACGGTTGAAAGCGGGGGTGGTCTGAGTAGGAGGAGGGAGAAGGGTAACCGGTCGAGAGAGAGAGGGTCGAGCGAGGCGAGGCAACGTGAAGGTGAGAGAGAAAGAGCAGGAGAGGAAAAAAGAGAAAGAGGAGGGGAAGAGAGTAAGAAATGGGATTGTCGAGATGGCGGGAAGAAAAAGAGGAAGAACGGGAAGGCAAAAGCGGGCAGGGAGTGGGTGGTGGGCGCAGAAAAGGAAGAGGCCAGAGTCTGGCTCTTCTCTTGGGGGTGGGGGCTTCTGGTAGGAAAAACCGGGACCTAGCGGGCAGCGGTAAGTGAAGTCACCGACGTGGACCAGTCAACCACTAGGCTCTGCGTCCAGTGACCAGTGTGGTCAGTGTGGTCAGTGAGGTCCGCCTATGACTGGTCACCAATACCCCTCGACCTCACTTTTTAACTGCGGTTCTGAGCCGTTGAGGCGCGAGGTGTACTTGGTATGGAGTACTGCTCTTGTACCTTTCCTTGCCTTATTTCACTGTTGTTGGTAGCAGCAGCCTGAATGCGAGGTAAGGCCGCCTCATGTAGGCAATTCGAATAACCTAAGCCTATACTCCGTAGACTACCTACACTATGTACCTTACTCACACGACATCCACACACACATCCTCTGCCTCAATCGCTTGCCCTCTCTGCCCTTCCATCTTGCTCTTCCACCCCCCGTGAGATGATGAGGTACGTAGGATGGGAGGCCTTACTCTCCTCCTCCTTCTGTTAAGTCGAACCTGCTCGGGACCGACCAGGCAAGGAAACCACAGGGCTTGCTGGCACCACGTTGCTGACTGACAGTCCCGTGCGGATTTTCCCTCGCGCTCTACCCAAACCCTGGCAACCTGGCCAATATGCCACTGGATCCCCTTAGTGCACCAGGAGGGGGGGCATCGGGGTGGGTTGTGTTGCGTCTACCTATGGTGTGGCCCAAGTCTAGCCTCTTGCTGGCCAAGCGATGATAGCCTGCTTAGCCCAGCTTGCGCCGCCTAGTTCCCGAGAGGAAGACGGACGGCGGGAGGATGAGAGGTATCCCATTGTACATCTCAAGCTGTACGTCCCAGCCTCAGTCAAGGTACGCACGGTACAGATGGATACGCAACGAATACCTGACCAGCCAGCAGAGGCGGTAAGAGCCACCTGGCGGGACGGTACGCGCAAAGCAGAAACCTGGTGCAAATGCTCCGTACGGATACAGATTGACATTGATAGAGAGGCGGAGAGCGGTTGGGCGGCAGCAGGGAAGAATGGGTGGCGGCCGCTCTGAGTGGATGGAGACGGGATGAGGTGCAGGCCTGCAGCTTCGAGAGAGGTTGGGAGGTTGGGTTGACTGATCGCGCTGCCCAAAAGGGTTACCGAGGAACTTCCCTGCGTCGTGCGCGCACTGCCTATGAACAACAAAATCTTACTCACGTCTGTCCAAGTCCGGGACAGCCCCAGGAAACGTCCCGTCCAGTAGGGCTTTCGATGCTCCGTTTTAGCGCGCACCACGACCACCACTTGGGTGGCCCCGATGACTAGGACCGCATCAAACAGACATCCACGGTGACGTGCGTGAGTACGTCTGGATAAGTACAGTAGTACGGTATTTGCGCTTGTGAGAAGAAGCAAACATGCGAGGGCTGTTGACGCACACGCACTCGTAATTCGCATCCAAACACTCAGTTGGTATTCGTTGGAATATTGAGGCCTGCCTTTACCTGCTTTTGTCGCCATTGCTGTTCAAACAGACGCACGTAAGACGAACAAAAGGCAATGAAGGCGGGCCAGCTTGGTACATGCTCTCAGGCTGGCCAATAACCCAGCCAGAAAGATGCAGCAGCCAAGCGGTCCTTATACGTGGTATAATGTCGTGTCAAGCTCAAAAGGGTAGAGATGAGACAGACGGCATGATGGCGAGCTGTTGTGAGATCCAATGCGAAGGTTTGTCCTCCATGTTACAGCAGGCTCGAATTTCGCTGCACCGGGGGGGTCGGCTCAATGGTGCGCGTATTATTTGTTCCTGCCTCCGCCCCTTAGAAAGTCGAAACTCATCCAATGCGACACGGCATGTCGAGACCCAATCGAGAGAGTTGCGTGCGGGAGATGCTGTTGAGCCGAAAACGCGAGAAGATTGGCAGCAGCTCAAAGTAGATTGATTCCAATGGCCTATGGTCGTCCTTGGGGTGTCTGAGATCCGCCATTCCCCTTGATTGAGCCCAACCCTTCTCCTAGGACCGGGTATCGTGAGGTCCGGTGCTGTTGCTTGCCTCATGGCCTATAGGGGGTTCGAAAAGGATCCAGACCTTCCGCCCCAAGTATTCTTGTTTGAGAATTTGGCGTAGCTGAGGCTGAATTGCATTCATCGGCTTGGGATGAAGTAGTTTGGAGAAGATGTGGCTCGTGAGTAGTCCCTTCTAGACCGTCGTTCTATGGCGTTTTGGGCTGTTCTTGTCAAGGATGTATCGAGAAGACGTTTGACTACTTTGGCGTAGTGGCGTTTTCCAACATCCGCTAGGCCATTTCCTTGAGCGGCAGTCTGCTTGCCGAGGCTAAAGAAGAAGTGTGTACTCTATTGTGTCTGTGTAACTTTGGAAAGTCGGGCAGGATGCTACGGGAGACCGCTTGGACATTACAATCCGTGTCGATCCCCGTTGAACAAGCTGGGAAACATTCGTGGACTTCAAAGGCTAATTTCTTCTGGAAACAGGTAAGTGTTAAATGCAGAAACCAGTCCGTAAGTGCATGTATAGTCTGCGCGCTTGGAATTCAAGCGTGTGAGCCAGTGTCGTAAGTTGCGTTTTCTGGCAGACTTGATTTGGCAATTCCCCAGCAACTCTCCAGCCCCTGATGACCTCTTTGCCTATGTCAGCTTGCTAAAGGCAAGAATGGTTAGACGATGCAAGCCTGGAGTCTGACTTGTTTTTTTCTTTCTGTCCCTTTCAATTTCCTCAAGTCTGACTGACCGAGCTGTTGGTACCCTACCAGGACGGGATATCCCAGCCTCAGACGGCGACCAGCCGGCGCGCTTTTCAGGGCGCAAAAACTACTTATTCGATGCACGTCCTCATTGACAGTCATGACACCCGCTCCCCCCCCCCCCCCGGCTGACTTCTACGAGAACCCCGTGGCTGTGGAGCGTGGGACGACGGACGTTCGTTTCCTGGGACCCTTGCCCTCGACTGCCGGCCATTTCGCGACTTGACGGCGCAGCATGCCGTTGCTTGCCCTGTCTCTTGATCGTCCGGCGGTTGCTGGCGGTGTCCTCATCAAAAATTGACTTCGCCGTTGCTGCGAATCCACTCGGGGTCGGCGATGTGGCCCCAGTGCATCGCTGCGAAGCGGTGGCCTATCGCTTCCGACTGCCGGGAATGCCCCGTCTCTTTTCCTTTCCAGTCTCCATTTTGTCCGCGATGGTCCACGGATCAAGACAAGGCGAGTGCGTGTTTTTTTCCCGCAAACGCTGATTTGTGTGGTTAGTACGAATACGGAGACAGAGTAGTGTTGCTAGTCGGGGAGTTGGTAACGGTGCGTCGGTGCCAGGTGGTGGTTGGCAACGTTGGGTATCAATGCCTCGCGCCAAAAATGTGGCCCAACCCACCTTGGCCCAAAAGATGCCTAATTAGCAACCAATCACTTGCAGACGTCATCCGGATTGTGTCAATCCAGACGCAACCAAAACGATGCGTGAACCTCGATCCAACAGTATCACGGAACCGGCCTCGATCAGGGATCCGATGTGCGCCGGTCTCCTCCATCCAGAGCACAAACGTACTGGATGCCGTTTTCTCATTCAAGATTTTGTATTCATCTTTGTAAATCGTGTGTCCGAAGCCTTGCTCGCTGGCACTGCTGCCCCTGGCGCTCCCAATATTGGTTAAACCCGTGGGTCATGAGGATCCGGATGCGTCGCGGAAGGCTACAGGCGGGAATTGGAATGACGACACTTGCGGGTAGTTTCGATCCACATGTAGCCATCCAACTCGTCGGTTGCGCCTGCGGAGACGCTCAACCACATGTATGTCCCTGTCTCGTCAGGCCGTTGTGGTTCGCCAAGTTGATCCGTCCTCATGTCTCATATGACCACGACCTCCGATAGACTGTAACCCGGCGCAAGGCCGGAAGCAACGCCCAGGTCCGCGACTGAGTCTACTATGAGACAGGATTGCTTCCCAAATTGCTGTACCGGGTGCCCAACTGGGCAACAACGGATAGCAATACCGGGTCCCGAAGTCATGTCGTCCCTGCCCGGTGGGTACCCTTGTGTAAGACTCGCCTCATAATTCGCTTGGTGAAGCTTGAATTTGGAAAGAAAACGCCCATCAGTGATGATTCCTCAGGTTCGTCGGGGGCTTTGCCGTCAATCTCCTGTACTGCGGTGACCCTTGGACCAGGCCTCAGGGCGTCAAAGTTTACCAACTTCCAAGTCTCGTTGCGTATCAGGCGGCAGGACCCGCTCGACAGACTTTTGGCGTGATGTTGGCAAAGACGGGCATGTCACCAGGATTCATCCAAACTTCAGTCTGCTCTGTCCATGCTCGAGCTTGCCGCCGCGGCCTCCCCGCTTGGCCGAAGTTCCTGAAGTCTTCGGGCCAGAGCTGCGGGTGGCAGATGAGTGCTGAGCAAGTGTGGGCTTGCCACGTTCCTGGTCTTGTAGATCTTTGGCAAAATGCCAATCCTCGTGGCTTTGGTGCTCCTCTGGCGTTTCAAACCCCGTGTTGCACCGCGAGCATACGAAGCCCGTGGTTGGCATCTCATGGAAGCCACCATTGCCTTCCTCGTGCGCCAGACTCGTACCTGGAACAGCCATGGAAGGCTCACCTGACTTATTCTCTTCTCGGGATTTGATATCGCTCTTCGCGGATGCACCGTCGGACGGCATTTCTTCGTCAGTGGAAACGTTACGTGCAAAGAAGCGATGGATCGCCCCTCCCTCCGTCCGACGTTTCTTTGGCGGCTTTTCTTCAGGAATGGGCATATCGCTTGCTTCGCGGCTACTCTGCCTTAGCGCCTGGGCTTCCTCTCCTTTCAGCAAGAAAGCGCCGATGCCCATGTTGCCTGTGATGCCGTCTTCGAAGCCGCCCACGCTTAAGCTGAGGTTGGCGCATGGCCAGACGTTGCCTTCCCCTATTATTTGGTTCAAGAGGTTCTTCGCAAGTTCGAATAAGGCTTGCTCATCTAGTGCTTTGCCCTGGGGTATTGGGCCTTGGCGCGATTTCATTTGGCCGCCATGCCGGTGGTGCAAGTTTATTGTCCTCGGCCTACGCCTATTCTCCAAAACTCCCTCTTCAACCAAGCGGGCGAAGATGTCGGCAGCAAAGATCCTCAGCCAGCGATGGGCTTGTTCCGGGGTGTTGATGTAGGGCCGAAACGATTTTGCCGATAGCATCGACTTGATTTGTGTGCGGGAGTTGACATCACTAGCGTCGATGCCACGAATGGTATTGAAAACCCAGCTTCCGGTGTCCTGACCTAGCTTTGCTTTCATCTGATCCAGAGGGATGGCCAATAGCTCTTCGACGGCGTCAGTGTTGAAGGTTGAGACCACGTTTTCGCCAAGCTTCCCCCCGAGATTGCGTATCTTGGTGAACTTGAAGCCTGACAGAAATTGGGCCACGGCTCGGTTTCGAATGACGGTCTGCTGGTTGGGCTTCTTGTGCCCGGAGCCCAACTTGCTCAACAGCTTATTTTTGGCAATACCTCCGGAGCATGTGTAGTGTAACTTCTCCAGGATCTGTCTTCGGACATCGCGGACAATCTCAGACCCAATAAGGATCGCCACGTCGTCCCAGTCTGGGTCCACGGACTCCTCCTCCTCATTCAGGTCGATGAGAGCATCCGCTTGCCAGTCCAGGGCTGCCACGGACGGGGCTGGAAGATTCTCCGTCGGATCGTCGTAAGGTGGTGGGTTTCTCAGCTCGGGGAAGCGTTCCAGGAGAACTGCATGGACATGTGCGGAGAGGTCAAGGAAAACCTCGTCAATGCTGGCCTTTTCAACCTTTTGCTGATCCGCAGGCAAAGTTTCCTTGATGACTGCCAGAATCTTTCTGCACTGAAGGCGGTACGGATCGAGAGAGACTTTGTCGCTCTGGATGTTGGCAGCAGCATCATCACGGTATGCCCACCTGTCGTCGCCTTCTCGCCAAGTTGCTACATGCTGGGCAACTAATGTAGGGCATAGCTTCTTCGCATCCGTCAAAGTGCAATGACGACCGATGCCGTGCTCACGTGCCGGATAATTGACAGCAATTAATCCTTGCCTTAGGGTTGTTAGTTGACAGAATGATCAGACGGAAGGGCCACGTACCATTGCTGGACAGCCAAAGGCTGGTCCTTAGGCACGCCCAAACGAACCATCTCGCATTGTGCATAGAAAGCATCTAGGTCAATGTGGGCTACAACTCGTAAGGGGCAGGATGTATTGTAAGTCGCTAGTTGGGACAGTTGTTTGAAGGTGAACTGAGATTTGCGTCTGCCGATGCCGTGGATAGGGGAAGATTCCCGGAAGGGCTGTGAGGACGACATGATATCACGTCGGGGGTGCCGCCGAGTCGCCGTCGGTAGGCGTCGTGAGGCCCCCTGCTCGCTTGCCGGATTCTCAACGGCGTATTTCTTGGGTCGACATGGACCGGACGTCGTTGACAGCAAAGTAGATAAACAGAATTCTCCTTCTC